CTTTCATTGTTTGACCTTGTCAAAAAAAAAGAGTTTTTGAAAGGAAGTGTATGTAAAGTGGGTAAGTTTATTTTACTTTCTATCACAGACCTCTTGAAGTATTGTCTCAAGTCATGTTAGCTGCTTGAGATGCTATACTGTGAATTTTTAACTATTGGCACACCTCTCACAACTTTCTGAAGAGGTGCAGTCATGTTTGTAGAAGTACTAATTATACCATCTGGCAAGCCATAAACATCAGGCTTTTAGGAATACATTTCCTCATAAACTTGCACAGTTTTCCCAGGGAAGACCACTATACCACTGCAACCATGGCTTTCTAGAGGTTTCGGATTTAAATTATCACATTCTCCTCTCTCAAGTTCAGTTACTACCAGCTGGGGGTTCTAAACCCTTGATTCTAACCAAGGTCCCTATGCTTCTAACGGATTACATTTTGGCAAATGTTCAGCAGTAACAATAGTTGTCATAAAGGGCCTTTATTCCACTGGGATTTCTTGAAACTCTTACAGTTTCCTTTTCCTCTGCTGTTGCAACAGTGTGGGTTTGGTCATAAATGACTCAGCACACTTTTGCAGAGTGAAGCAGGTGTGGGCAGCAGCTGTCTTGGTACTGAGGTCTAACTGAAGTGTCTTTTGGAGCTGAATAATCCATCTTTTCCTCCTATAAAAGTTGATTGTAAGTACATAAACTGAAAATCTTTATTCAAGTTCAGGGCTTATTCCAGGTTCATAAATCCCCCCTTCTTGTTTGGTAAGGATGACATTCTTGTGAGCCTTTCTTTATCGTGGCTTTTCTTTAACTGCAGGAGATACATACCATTACTCTACTTTCATGAACCCTGTTTGTGGAATAAAGAAAAATGTTTTGGGGAGATTGATCCATTACAGATTAATATCAAGGGAAAAACTAGACAGAATATACTGTGAAACCTGCTGTGTTCAATTTTTATCCTAGGAGAACCAGAGCAATGTCTGCTTCTCAGCAAGTGTATTCTGTAGATAATGCTTCTTTATTTTTATTTAAGAGATTATGATGACAATCACTAATGAAGAGCAAAATCAGTTGACCTGGCATCTTCACTTGCAGGAAGATGCTCTGTAGTCTCACACAGATCTCCCCTTCATTCGTTTGAAAGTTAAGTCTTCATTCTAGTTACAGTTGATTCCGTCAGACAATCGTATTTTTATTGTGAAGTACTTACTTTGGTTCTCTTTTTGTTTTTCAAGTGTTAAATAAAATTTTAAAAATCAACATTTTCATTGATAAAATCACTTTCCTAAGACCCCCATGAAGTGGAATAGTATGTCCCAATCTGCATTGACCTCAGTAATTCTGTATTTGATCCTGTATTTCTTAAAAGCTCTCTGACATTTGCAAGGTCAGTGGGGATCTTACCAGTGTACAGAGTACATGAAGGGAAGGTTCAAAAAGGGAGCCGACCTCTTTTCTTTAGTGTCTCATGGACAGCACAAGAAGAATGGGCATACATTAAAACTCATGAAATCCAATCTTAACACAAAGCAGTTTTGCTGTGAGAGTGGTCAAACATTAGAACAGTTTGCCCAGGGAGGTTGTAGAGTCTCCGTCTTTGGACATGGTGAGAACCTGTCTGGACATGGTCTTGGGTAACTGACTTTTGACAGTACTGCTTGTGCAGGGAGTCTGGACCCGATGACCTCCAGAGATCCCTCCCAATCTCAACCATTCTGTGATTCGTTGAAAGCTCTCCAAAGAACATCTGCTCCATAGTATTTTCAGAGTTGATACAGCAAGAGCAGCTGTTTCATGGAGTAACTCTGCCAGTGAGCACAGTAATTCATGTTTCTTTCTCAAAAGAAGAATTTTGACCAATTTTTGCAGCAGCTTAAGTGATTGCTGTTACCAAGGTTACTTGAAGGTATTCCTAATATACTGAAAAATTGGTATGAATCAGTGAGGTACAGTTTCAAATCATTTAGCAAACAGAATTGATATGTTGGGGGTTGAGGAGAGATATACTACAGGATCTCTTCAAGATATGTCAAGTACTGGTACAGTTTTACAGTTTATCACTTTATTCATACCCCTGTAACTTGAATTTGGCACAGTCTTTAAAACTTCTATTCTTCTTCCAAACTACTTCTCTTTTCAGATTTTGGTTGGATGTTGGGGTGTGTTGTTTTGTGGTTGGGGATTTTTTTCCCTTTAATCCGCTTTCAGTACAAATTGGAATTGCAATCTCGTTTTACAGTCTGAAGAGAACAGAGTAAATATAAACTATGTAACTACTAGTATTCACTTTTCCTTTTGTACAGTTATTTCATGTGTCAAAGGCTGCTATGTAGCTGAAAGGTCAGACAATCCCTTCTTTCAGCTACCATGATCCCTTTTCAGTACCTTCCTTTCTAAGCATTCATGAAACCTTAAGTGCTGATGCTTCGATGCCTGTGCTTGAGTTTAGGAGTTGCCCTCTCCCGTCATCTGGCGTTATGGCTGTGCTTTTAGTGAAATATATGAATAGACATTGTGGGTTCTTCCCTGAAATTCACCTTGCTTATCTAATCTGAGTTCTCTGATGTTATAGGTGGTCTTTAAATATACTTGCACTGTGTAGGCTCCTGTTCTGAGCAGCCTTGGCAACCAAGCCAGGTTGATATATTTGGGCTATATTAAAAATAAATCTACTTGCTGTTTCTTAGAAAAGCTATTGAAGGATTTTTTTGAGGAGAAAAAGGGTAAAGAAGGTAAACATGCTTCTTAAAAAGTATCATTTATACTAGGGAGACCTGAATACTTAGCTTTTAGAAAAGATGAGAGTGCAATAGAAGGTGCCTGTCATTTTTCAGAAAGTTAATTTAAGTAATTGAAAAAACTTCCAAGGTTTTAAAAATTACTTTTATCCTGAATTGGTATGAAAATAATATTTAGGGTGTGAAATCCCCTCATCTTTTAGAGCTGGAAAGGTTTGAGAGTGATGGTCATCAAAGCTTTGAGAGCAGCACCGTCCTGGCAGGGCTGGCAGCTGAGTGGCTGATGCTCTGGTGGGTGCCAGACAGAAAACCAACAGGGAAAGGGCACGTTTTCCTTTCAGTGTTTTTTTCCTTTGAAAGTTGAGCAAAATATATGGAATTTGCAAACATTCTCTTTTTTTTTATCCCCTAAGCAAAAACTGTTTTCAGGCATGCACAAAAAAAATCTGCTCTCTCTCTGAGAGAGTAACCCTTGGCTTTTAGAATTAGGTGGGTTTTAAATCCTCATGAGCGATGTGACCTACAAAACATTGTTCATTTTATGCAATTTGTTGGTAAAATTTGTTATCCAAGAAGCAGCTGTCTGAACAAGTTGCAGGGTTTATTTCCTCTGCTGCTGCTCTTTATTTAAAAGGTTGCTTTGTGGGTAGGATTTTTTAGTGTTGTGCAACTCTTATTTTAAATAGCAAAGAGATACCAAGTTTCGTTCATAATACTTGATGATAGTTTCTCTGTTCCACAAATTACTCAAACAGCAGTTACCTTACTCTTTTACTTCCTTACCTGACTTTCTGGAGTGCATTTTTGTAATTTCCATTCTTCTAACAGAATGTAAATGTACACAGATACATAGGAATTTGTAACCAGGTATTTCTAATTAAGCAGCAAGGTAGAGGACCAGCATCATGTGATCATTTGTTGCCTGATGCAGTCTGATGAGATGAAGTGATACCATTATACTAAGCTGGTGTGGAGGCATTTGTCATGTGCCCAAAGTAGTGCCACTACAGGTTTCCTATAGAGGAGCCTGAGCCCAGCACAGAGGAGCAACTCCTGCCTTCTGCCATCTCCCCTTCTCTCAGCAGAGCAAAAAGGTGCCTAGAACTGGGTGCAAGCAGAAAACAGTGGGATTTCTTGAAGATACCTTGCAATTTTTATATGTAGCTGAAGGCAATGGCTCTCTCATACTTGGTGATAACTGAAAAGAAAGCACTAATGCCATTTTGTCAGGCTTGTTCTCTCAAGGGATTTCTGAAATCCTTTCAAAATGTACCTACCCCTACAAAGACACGTGCAATTGTTTGTTATTTCTCATACAACTAATTTGCATCCATAAATAACATTGTGCAGATTCTGGGAATGAGAAATACAGCTTGGTGAAGGTAAACCAGAGTTGGTATGCCTTTTAGATACTTCCAAGTTAGATTTAAACTAAGACTGTCCTCTGTGTGGAAATACTGAGATGAGGAAGCACTGCCTAAACCTACATCTTTTTTTTTGTGAGGAGAGCAGGAGACACTCAGCAGTAACTGGCTGATCTTTTAAGCTTGTCAGAGGACTGCTGTTTGTGACTTGGAAAATGCATTCTGTGCTATTTGTCTGATCCTTAATCAACCATATGCAGTGAACTGCTATCCCTGCATGTGTTTGATATCACTGTTTCTTATAAACCTTATTAAAGTGAGCTCTCTACCTCACCAACATATCAATAAGTTTGAGAGAGATGCTTTAATTTTGTGAAAAACTCTGTAAGATAATTAATTTTTTGACACTGGGCTTGGAGCATGAACTGAATTGCCAGCAAGAGACCACTGATGTTGGAGCAAGGGCCACAAAGTGATTGAAGCACTGGAGCATCTGTCACATGAGGAGAGATTGCAATAGCTGGCACTGTTCACCTGAAGCAGAGAAGACTTGACTGGGGGTGAGGAGGGTCTTATCAGAGTGTATAAAAGCCTTGCGGTGTGAGGGAATGAAGAAAAAACTACACTTTTCTTAGTGTTGCCCACTGACTGGGCAAGTGACAGCAGCAAGAGTACAACACATTTTTTACTCTGGACAGTGGTCAAAGACTGGAGAAGGTTGCCCAGAAAGAAGACTTCTCTCTCGTGGGTGCAGAAGTTTTGTTGTTTTGCTCTCAACACTGTATTAACTTACTAGTTACATAGATTGACTTCAGTTGTCTCAATGTCTGTAGGTTATACTTCAGTCTTAATTCCATATGAAGCATATCCAAACAATTTGCCTTTTTCTTTCTGTCCTGTATAGGTTCTGGGAACGCCTACAAGGGAGCAAATTAGAGAAATGAATCCAAACTATACTGAATTCAAATTTCCTCAGATTAAGGCACATCCATGGACTAAGGTGAGTCTATATGATCTGAATAATAAAGATGTGGGCTGAAAAAAAAGTTGTTCAGTTTGTTCAGTGATTTGGTGACTTTCAGTGTAAACTCGGTGCTTTTAATTAAGATGAGGACCTGCAAACTTTTGATGTAGCTGAGGAGGAGGAGATACTGTAGCAGTACACTGTAATACCTGCTGGTCTGGAGGTTGCCTGTAGGTGGATTGTTTTTTGTTTTGATTTTTGATAATGGTGTGTGTATTGGTAGCAGATTGCAATATTCTACGTACAGTCGTGCTATCAGCTGATATGCACAAAGGTCACATAGAAATGAGGAAAGTGTTCCAGTATGTATTGGCACTTCTTTAGTGCTGTAAAATAGTGTGATGAGGGCTGACAGTCACTTTCTTAAATGTTTCTCTCATAGATAATATTCTGTTTGTACTACTGTAGATGTGCTGTTGAGTGGAGATGTTTTTTCTTGGAGTTACTTCTTAAGATCTCTTGTAATCTAGCTTTCATAGGGAGACACCAATGCAATACACACAGACAATGCTGCGACCTCCGTGACCAAAGAGGAAACTGCTAGCAATGAAGCAGATACATTGCTGCACAATTAAATAGTCTTCCACATATCAAGCAATGATGAATATTTGACTTGGGACAGAGTAACAGTCATTTAGTCAGCCTCTTGGGTGTGGAATAAATTAAATATTGAATCTCAAACAATTGAAGCCTGGGTAGTTAACATTTCCTCTTGCTGCTTGAGAATTGTCTGCTGTGGTCACAGTGTATTTCCATCCTATCCCAGCAGGCACCTCTCAAACCATTCTTCAGAAACAGGGCTTCCCTCTTCTTTTCCTCTGTCACCTATCACTGCAACCTCAGCCTCAACAGGAGGAGTCCAGGACATTTTGGTGCTTTGGCAAGGGGGGGTCCTTTTCAGAATACCAGTGTGTTTAGTGGCTTAAATGTTATTTTCATCCAAACCTCCCTTTATTTTTGCTTCGTATAGAATATTTTGTATTCATGGAGGTGCATCCTACAGTTTATCTGCCTTGGTCTGTGAAGTAAGTAGCATTGTGTTATAAGAGAAGCAGTGTTTTGCAGGGGTGTGAATATGGCTGACTTACAACAGTCAGAAAAGAATAGGAAGGCTTTTAAACACAGTCATGTCTTCAGGTATATCTTGGGCTGGAAAACCAGTCCATTTTTTCCAATGGTGTCATCTCATAAAATAAAAGTTACTACCCTTTCTGGAGATTTGCTGCTATTGTTCTTATTGGGTCATATCTTTGCTTCTGTGTCTTTCAGCCGTCTCAACTCCTTGAGCCTTCTTTCTTCTCAGAAGTGCAGTCTGATCTGTGCTACTAATCTTTATACTTGTTTCTGTTCCTCTGTCCAAGCTTCATCTATGCCATATAACTCTTTATAGGGTTAACATACAACCATATAAAGCCAAGGAGGAAATCCAGGATCAAGTGCAAGACTGTATATCACAAGGCTATTAAGTTCAACTTTGGTGATTTTCTGTGAATCTTGCAGCTCTTTTTGAAGGGAGCAGGGACAGTGGGACAGCCAACAAAACGTCTAAAGGCATTCTGCATACGCTTGTGGTTGATAGGTGTTGCTTACTGTTGCCCCATTACAGCTGCCCTTTATCCTGGCATTACTCAAATGCTACCTTCAGGTCTCAGATCCCTGGGGTAATGAAAAACAAAGGCAGTGCTATGTTAACTTCCAGAAATATATAAAATATCCAACTGTGACAGCCTGCCTTTCCTCTTGCATCTAGCTAGTCAAGGATCTCATTAAGATTGTCGTAAATGTAATAGAATTATGTAGTTTAAGCCCTTTCTGTGTGGGGAAAATGACTCTTGGATTTTTTCTTTTCTGCACTCAAGGATACTGCCACATGTTTGCCAGTATAATGTTAGGATAATGAAAGATAATTATGCATATAGATGTCCATGTTTCATGATGGCAGAACAATAAAAGTTGTAACAGCAAATGCAGTTTTCTGTACTTAATCATAACCTCTGCTTGTCTCCCTTGTATAGACATGGAAACAGTTTCTACTGCAGGCAGCTCTTAAAAATGGACAGTGAGTCTCTTCAATGTGCTGTGGTTTGGTTGCCTTTGTTTCTCCTGTTCTGAAAGTACTTGCAAGATTTTTCAAACATGCAGGCATTTTTTGAATATACTTTTGGTGAGATAAATTTGAATGTACTCAAGAGAATGGCTTTATTCACCATCCCCAAATCTGTGCTTAGCTGGTGTCTGAAAATAATTTGCAAGTCAGTGTTCATTTGAAAAAAAACAGGAGTCATTTGCCTGACAGTGGAAGAGACAGGGAGAAAAACTGTCGTGTTTAGATTAGTTTTGAGCATCTCTGCCCCTCTGTTGTGCACTCTTGTGGATGCATATAAGAGGACTTTTCTCTGCATCACTTTGCCTTCACAATAAACTTGTGGGAGATTCAGGCAGGATCCCTCCCACTTTGTAAGCGCCTCCTTTTTGTTTTAGGGGCTTTTTCATTATTTGTACTGTTCAGGGTGGTTTTTTGTCCATGTCTTTAAGCCAGATGGTTATAAGTATAGGAAAACAGTGTCTAAGATGAGACTTCAGACTCCAGCTCATCCCTTCTGGCACTTTTCCAAAACTATTGGCCAATTCTGACTGCAGCTGAAGTTGTGCAGAACCAAGTGGTTGTGCTAAAGAGTGGCTTTGGATATTGACTTCAGGATTCATATTTCTGCCTATATTATGAAGTAATTTCTGCTAATACTATAAAATACCTGCCTAATATTTAAGTCTTGATATCCTCTTGTGTACATGTTTATTCTGTATGTATGTTTTTCTGTACTAATCACTTTACCTTGAATGTTAAATAATTCTGTGCTTGTAGCAGACAATCCTGTTGTCTTCCCCACACTCTGGGACTGGGACGTAGGGCCTGGCCTCTCTCATGAACATTTTTCCACCTTCCAGAACTGGTTTTATGTCTTCATCCTGTCCTACTCCTCTTCTCCTTGTTGTTGTCTAGTTTTAAAGCAGATTGTTTTGTTTGTAATGCTTCCAAAGTGAGTGCTCATACTGTAGATTCAAGGAAAAGTACAAAACAATAAAATGGATAAACAGGCAGCTCATTTCGTCACTTGTAATTATAACGGATGACAAAAGAAAGCAAAAACTGTTTTGTCAGAAATCTTATAAGTGGACTTGTATTTGGATTCAAGATGAAAATGCAAACTCTTCTTTCTGAGATTGAAGTCTACTCTTTTGTAGAGGAACAAAGATACAATGAGGATGAGATGTTTCTTTGGTTTCAGTTCCATAATTGGCATTAAATTCATCATGGAGCCGGATCAGTTCTCCACCTCCCACCTGCATAGTCCTGAAATGCATTATGCTTTGTATGGTAATAAAAACCTCTTGAACAACACATGTTCAGGATTTGGATAAATTTCCTTTACCTGACTGCCATTCTGCCCAGACTGCAGGTGTTGGGACAAGGGACCAGGGCAGACCTGCATGTCTCATTTCCAGCATGAACTGGACTTGATTTATGCCTGTTGTGAAACTGTGCCCTGACTTCTTTCTAAAGAGTACAGCTCTGTTTTTCACTTGATGTGTAACGACTTTACAGGCGAAGAGTGAAAACAGCTCCGCTGGATACTATCTTTTAAAAAAAAAAAAAAAAGGGGGTTTCTGGCAAGTTCATATTTGCCAGCTCCTTTTGTAGCAGCAATGATTTTTGACAGTGTAAATCTCTTATCTTCTATGGCTGAGAAAAGAAGCCAGGTTCGCTGGGTGCTAAATTGCCCTGCCTCTGTCCAATTTATATGCGGTAAAGAAGGTACTGCCTAACAGTAAATGAGTGAGCCTTAATGCAACATTAAGAAAGGATTTCGATCAGTGCAACTATGGAAATCAAATGCTAAAAGTTTAACATGTCTTCTGCAGTGTACCATCTGTTTAGCTATCCCACTGTAACACATCTGTCTAGGCTGTTTATAGCAGCTGTCCCAGCAAGGTTGAGAGCACTGAGGTACAGTTTTGGGGGTTCTCTCTCAAAAGAAGGGGAGCTATTTAGTTCCTCTTAGATTTGTTTCATTTCTTTGGAGCTTGATAGAAGCAGAGCACATGCACTGGGTAATAAACACAAGCTCGTTCTGTTTCCACAGGGTCCTCAATGGAAGGATCCCAGTAAAAAGTGTGTGGTTTCAACAAGAAGTAGCTTTCAAGACGGGTTCCTGGTCTTGTTCCCAGTTCTGTGTTGGCTCATTTGTAAGCCACTTAACCCTTCTGTCTTTACTTCATTTTCTCCTAAGTGCCATCAGACAGGAATTCTTGACTAATCAGGCGTTTACTATTTCTGAGGTGCTTTTAGAAAAAACAAAGAGGGATTTAATTGGAGAAAGAAGTTGGGGGGCTTATCTATATATTAAAGTATCTCCCAACACCAGTGCCTCTTTTGTGGACACTTTTTAACCTCTGCTTTTTATCACGTGAGTTTTACACACTTCAAAATAGCCAAATGGCATATTTCCTATGCTGAAATTCTCAGGAATTTGGAACAAGACTAGTCCAGAGACCTTCAGATGCAGCCTTGGTGTTTTTTTGTGTCAGGTGGAGATCAGTGCATACATTGCTGTCTTGTATGTGTCTCTTCCCTCTCCTTTTGTGAATGTGTTGTGTTTCTCATGAGCCTTATTGTGTTAAACTTGGGTGATCAAAATGCTGCTTCGTAGTAATTGTATTGTATGATAGCATTTTTTAAAAGCTGATTTGACAGTTATGTTCTACATTGATGACTTGGCTTGTAAACAGTACAAGCTTTTGGTTGAAAGAAGGAGCTTTCTCTCTTACCTAATGTTCATGTGCAATAAAAAACGTGCTTACAAACCAAAAGGATGTGCACGGACTGTCAGCCTTGAATCAGTGGTGTGGGTGGTTCTTGGCAAAGCGTGAGAGTCTGAAACTGGTGAGAAAATCTTTAACCATGGTATCACAAACTTGATGCATTAGCAACAGATCTCATTTTCCTAAGCCTCTGCTCTCTTAGGTAGCACAGCATGCAGGCAATATTCACAATCTGCATGCAAAACACATAATAGTTGATGGCATGAAATCATGTCTTTTAATACACACTGGCTAAAAAAGTACCTTGGTGTCACATTGTGAAGCTTTGGCTTTGAGGTTTAATTATGCTAAGACAATAGAGCTTATATTGTGCATGGAAAGTTTGTTTGAGGAATGTCATTGGATTGAAAGTCAGAGCAACCATTCTGTTAAAACAATACTTAGCTCTTGCCCCATGTGATTTTATTTGAGAGCTGAATGCTGATGTGAGTGAAGTGAAATAGGAGCATTCTGTGCTTTTCATCATTTTTCTTTCATCTATCCATATGTACAGAAAAATAAAATTCAGAAGGGGCATAAACTCCACTACACTGGTAGGAACTATTTCAAATTAGTAAGATAAAATGTGACTGCTCTGCTGGTGCACAAAGCCTTCTTCTGAATTGAAGTCTCTTGGGGATGAGAGCTGTGTAGTGCACCAGGGGGACTTAAGCCTGAAATGTTGAAGAAGGTGGTAGTTCCAGAAAAATTAAGGGGGAGTAGCATAAAAAAAATGTGCATTGATAGCAGTTCAACTTGAGAAGGAGAGAGGAGTGTGTCAGACCGTGCTGACTCACTGTTATAGTCTGTCGCTATTTGAGTATCACTAGCATGCCTGAACAAAGAAACAACTCACACTGGTCCCTCACCTTTTTGGTGAGGTATAGATTTATTGGGATCTGAAAGGAGATGGGAAAAACCAACAAAAGCACCAAAAGCTGTGGCTTTGGATGAGTCAGCATTTCCATTTGACATGATCATCCAGAGATTTTTGTAACTCATCCAAAAAAAACCCCAAAGAAAAAACCAGCAACCTGGGTCTCAGCCGGAAAATCATTTGTTTTGCAGAAACAAGAGGTTTTGAGTTATTCATGTGCAAATTTTTCTTGAAGAATATTGTATGTAAAGCTTTTCTTTTTGGCATTTGTTTATCTCCAAAACAGGTGCATTTTTTAAAATGAAAACTTAAGCCTTTGGTCCCTCCTGTGGACAAACAGCCTTACACAAGGTCTTGTTTCATTTTAGAAAAATGAATTGCTGCGCCAGTGGGATGGTATTTGATTGCTTTAAAAGTTCCTGTCAGTGTTTTATTTTTGGTTTCTATTTTGTTTGTGGACTTGCTGTGCCTTTTGCCTGGCCGTATTTAGTCTGCATACTAAATATTAGTCTACCCAAACACTTTGTACACTTAGGTTTTTTTCCTTTTTTTTCCCTTCCTCTTTTTTTTTCTTTCCTTTTTTTTCTTTCTTTTTTTGTTCTTTTCTTTTGCTTTCACCCAAATGTATTTTAGACCGAGACAGACTTTGCTCCGATGGGCCGGATTTTAGTCCGTGCACTAAATTTTAGTCCGCAGACTAAAAATAATCCGCGGATTATTTACTAAATTGATTCCCTCACTGAGAACTACAGAGACTTTAAACTCCTGCTGAGGCATATGTGCAAGGGGCTTCATGGCTCACAAGTCCCCCTGTCTATCCATCCTCTTGCCCCTTCCCACCATGGAGCATCAGCCCAGCATTGCCTTGGTGTCGGTGCCCCGTGGCATGGAAGTGCTGGCATAGCCATTGCCGTGGGTGGCAGCTGCTCATGTAGTTCTTGGTGGGGGAATTTTGCTGAATGGGAAGAGCTAAAAGACCATAGAGGGCTTTGCGTTTATTTCTTAGGGCATTATTCAAAAGGGAAGGCAGGAGGGGACAAATTGAGGAGAAAAAAATTTCTTAGGTAATGGGTGTGACGGGTATGAGGGGGAATAAACCCGCAATAGAGACAAATTCAGTCCATACCCGCACTCCTGAGGTGGTATGTCCAGTTCCTGAAGAATCCTAAAGAGATAATGCCAGCAAACAAAATCCAGTGGAGGGGGAAGTCAATCCAAAATGGAGAATAATCCGCGGCGGCCTGAGGTACTCATAGTGCACACAAATTAAAAGTATCCAAATTTAAAGTATAGATCTCGGATTTTTACTTCATCTTCAGCACAAATTGCAAATTGCTAGGGATTTGGGGTTTTTTGAGAAAAGCCCAAAACCATCCAAAAGTTTACATTGTGTGTCTGGGACAGATTTACAAGCGGGATGCATCTTTGGATACAAGCTAATCTGGTCACTTGGTTCTGTGAACGTTTCTATCCAGGACCGAGGACTGAAAATTCTTTATTATGGGAATTTCAATTACCCTTTTAGTTCAAGTTTTGATTTCAATTTTTTTTATTTTTTTAGTAAATGCACTGGCATTGGAACAAAAATTTCATATAGAAGTGGTTCTATACTATGCCTCACCATTGCACAGTCGATTTTTTGGCATACACTGTGGTGAAGTTGGACTTGCTGCTATGGAGACTGATGTTTAAAGTTTCTAATTGTGTAACCATTTACTATGTCCCCCACACCATGGATTTCTTATAATATTGGCTATATTTTTCCTTGCTGGACTATTCTCTTTTGGATTGACTCCCCCTGTTTGGATTATTTCACTGCATTATCATCTTTAGGACTCGTCAGGAACAGGACATTTCACCTCAGGAGTACGGGTATGTACTTAAACATTTTTTCAAATTACTAGGCCTAGCTTTGAAAAAAAAAGGAGAGAAATGCTAGAAGTGGAATAATTGAGTTCAAACTGCATCCTTGAGGCAGCAGCCAGATGAATATAACACAAGCTGATAGAGATGATATGGGCACAGACCTGTAACTTGCTTCATGTGTTAGTCACCACTTGTTGCAGGAGAAGGCCATGTGAGGCCTCCTAGTATCTGTATTTTTTTCCCCTTCCTGGTTTGAAGCAGTTAGGGCAGACACGAAGGCAGGCTGAACAGTTCATAACAGAGTTTAGGAAACATGTTAGGGTTTCAAGGACTTGAAAATGAGGAGTTTTAGTGGACAAGAAAGTACTTCTGTTACCTACATCTGATTTGTGACTGTCTGCATACTAATTTTCTCAATGTAAGGGCATGTCATCTTTACCTTAAAGAAATAAAATAGTTTTTTAAATCTGATAGTGGCTTATATGTGAGCTGTACTGAGGAGAAAAACACAGCAAAGTTTCAAGCTGTGATAAATCAAACTTGTTAAAATATCAGTGTGAAAGGTGCATGAGGGAGACATTAGTAATTTTACTTCACGTTAAATACAGAACAACTTCACTTCTGTGGGTTTACTTCAAGACATACACATTTGTGCTACTTACCATGGGGAGGTGGGGGGAAGCCAGAAGGTTTTTTTCTTTTTAACTGGAAACAGTTTTGGATTTTGTTCTGGTCAGGCTGTGATTTGGGAGTAATAATTGCATTCAGTGTGTGCTGTGGTCAACAATCCAAGCTCCATGGGCAGCAAGGCACAAAGCAGCTTCCACTGCCTCTTCAGATGGCCCTACACTGTTAACACAGTGGTCAGTACAGGCTCTCTGCCAGCAGTGTTAAGCTAAAACCTTTCTTTTTGTCATTATAGGCCTCGTGTGAAAACTTTTTGCAGTTTGTTTTGCAATAACTTGGTAGTAGGAATAAAGTCAGGTCTTCTTGTATATGGCTTCTTGACTCCCCTAGTCAGGATTCGTTGCCACATGAGTTAGTTAGCACCGCACACACTGCAGCAAACCCAGTGCTGCTGGCCCAGCTGGGTACCAAGGGTGGGAAATTTTAGTCCCTGCAGAACTTGGCTTTTGTGTTCAATTCTCATTCAGGGTAGCATATATGCCTGGTTTAAAACCTCCTAAAGGAATGCCTGTGCAAGTTTCTAATCTGTGATTAAATAGCATGTCATTCACTGATTTAAATTTGTTTTTCTCCTTGGTGCTGTGTGGCTTGAGTTCACCTGCACTGGTGCAAAGCCATTTTGGATTACTTCAATTTTTGCCAAAATTGCTGGCATCAGAACTTCAAACTCATGCCCACCCTACTCCCTTTACCCCAGACTGCATTTTACCTGCAGCATAGTAAGAGACAAGTGCTTGAGGAGGCCATCCAGGTCATGTACATGATTAACTCCTATTTTGCTTATAATGGAATGACAAAGGAGAATGTGGTTAGCAGTGGGTAGAACTTAGAGGATTAAAATAAAGCTGCAGTGAAGAGCTGCATTTTGTAATCACTCAAAGTAAAAATCTGTTAGACTAAAATAGTTGGTTTTCTTGCCTCAATTTTCAGCTGTCCTTACAAATACCAAATGTGCAGGAATTATCCCTATAAACTTACAGGAGTAGCTTGCCAGAATAAGGTCGCAGAAGGAGTAACTTGCAAATTGGAGCTAGACATTTCCCGCACCCCACCTGTGCTTTTCTTGTTTTTCTCCAAAGCTGAACAGCAGCCTCCATAGCAACATAGTCTGACCTGCCTGCCTGCAAAAGTCCATGTTAGTAAGACTTCTTCACTAGCCAGAAAAACCCCAACCCAAAACCATAGCGGGGCTGTATTATATTTCTACATCCAGTGAATCCTGCTCATTTGAACCTTCTTCCCCACCTTCTCTCCACCCCATATGCATGGCTGGTAGCACCTGTGTGTGTCATGATTTTTGAATGAGTTTCCCCTTCATTCTCAAAGTTGTTTTTCTGAGTGCGCTCTCATGAAGTCTCTTGATAGCATTGCACCTTCACTCTAGTGCAAGGCGTTGCAATTAACCCTTTCTCAACCCCAGGAATGGATTTTCCCATACTTACTGCAGGACTTTGATTAGCACAAACTGTTCGTTCCAGCTTGCTGGGCAATGAGAGGTTTAATTGCTCTGACTTGCTTTTGGTCAACAAAGAGACGGGACCTAGCCAGGCAACCCGTTTCTCCTTGCTTGTTTTTTCGTTTTCCCTGCAGGTCTTCCGGCCCCGCACTCCCCCTGAAGCAATTGCGTTATGTAGCCGCCTGCTGGAGTACACCCCCACTGCCCGCCTGACTCCCCTGGAGGCCTGCGCGCACTCTTTCTTCGATGAACTACGGGACCCAAACGTCAAGTTACCAAACGGGCGAGATAAACCTGCACTCTTCAATTTCACCACTCAAGGTAGCCCAAGAGTATTGAAGGATCCCTTCTTTAAGAGGAAGCAGCGGGATAAACGTTGTAGTGCAGATGTTACCTCTCTCAGAAGTAAAAATCTCTAAGTGATACTAAGTTTATTAAGTAGTTGCATAACCAGCTGTCCATTTCAAAAAGAGAGGAAAGGGTCTTGAAGTTACAGGAATTTCAGAGTTCTTGATTCTTCCAACTCAGTTCTGCTGACGTACTGAGGGTGGTTGTTTCTTGATTGCCTGCATATAGCATGTGTCTGCAGAGTGTGAGTATGAATATGAATAGCTCAGAGTCTGCAACCTTGCTGATGGCTTTGTGTGAAATATCAGTGGATCATGCAGGTTAGAATATCATTCGGAGATGGTCCTGCTTCTTCACACCTGGAACACCATGACCACGTAGTAATGCATGTTATGTTTGGCAGGGAGCTTTGTAGTGTTGCTGCCCATTTTGGTTCTGGATGCAAGATAAATAAAGATTATTTACTTTCCAGATTTTATATGCTGTACAGTTCATCAGCATTACACTGGCTGAGTTATTTAGAAACTGTAAAAATAAATGTACAACTAAATTTCTTATTTGCAGCCAGGCTAGTATCAGATTTTAAAACCATTCATCTGGTTTTTCTACAGAAGTCAGAAATGTAAAACTCATACCCTCAGAATAGTTTTGCCTGCCAAGACAGAACATGCGAGAAGTATGGCACACAAATACTCCATTTTTAAAATTAATTTTGGAGCACTTTTCCTGTTGTTTTTCTTTAAGTGATCAGCTGCCATCTCTCACTCTTTGAGCAAGACTAGTTCTGTATGCATTTTCTCTTGAAAGTCTAAAACACTTTTTGGCCCAGTTAGCATCAATGTTGTTTTTCAACTCTAGCACATGCTGTGCCCCTCTGCCAGAATATGAAACAGCTCTTTCCTTCAACTTGTGGAGCCTTTTTATTTAAAAATTTGAAAGTCGTTTATGAAGCCTAAGCACATTAAAGTGGTCAAGTAAATAGCTTGTGCTTCCACGTCATGTCCTCTTTGCTGATTTCTGCATCTGTTGTTAGAAATTTAGTAGTTATGTTACAAGTGCTTCCTTGTATTCCTGGATTACCTTTTGTTTTGCCCCTCTAAGGCCATCTTCGGTAGCTAAAATAGTTTTGATTCCAGTATCTTAATACATCTTCACCCCTGTTCTTTTTGAAAGTATTTATTAATTGTTTCATGATGACATTAAGATTGAACTTACCTACTACATGAAAACAAAGTTTTTAAAAAGAGTTGGAAAGCTCTATAGTGAGTCAATTAAAAAATATTTTTCTTAGGGGAAAAGCAGATCCATGTATTGGGAGTCCCTGGTTCACCTCAGGTAGTGTGAAAGCTGAGCCTAATGCTCAAGCAAATTTAAAGCTCCTCTTTTGCCATCCTAAGGAGATGATATGCCCTCCCTCACACAGAGAGTCCTGGGAATGGTAAGAGAAAACAGTTCCTATGGAGCAATTTCCTTAAGATAAAAAAGTCAAATTTCTGTCTGTCATCCACAAGTGCCAGTTTTACCATCTATAAGGGAAAGGCAGGACACAGGCTGATCATTAACGCATTTCCAAACAAGCTCTGTTGCAGGTGACCAGTCAAACTCAAAAAAACCCAAAGTGGAGTTGTTTTTAAATACCTAAATACATTGCTTAGCGCAGAAATTTGAAGAACTTTGTAGTTGATAAATGTACAGCAGTCCTGACTATGAGCTTGAGATATACAAGAAGATTTGCTCCCCCAGTGACTACTGCTCAATCCTTGTTCTCTGATCTTTACTGTGCAAGGTTCCATCAAACTGGCTGCTTCAGAGCAGAAATCCCAACTGGGAGACATATCAGATCACTAGATGGATAATGAGTCATGTTAAGTCATCTGTGATAATTTGAAAAATAATGAAAGACAATCTTATTTTAAATAGCCTTTGTTTTCAACAGGCAGTATTAAGTTCTAGAAGTGTTTGATTTGGCTGTATCCAGTTGCCTGAAGCCCCTGAAGTAGGAGGTGACTGCAGAGGGCTTGAAGGCAAAACTGTTAGAAATGACAAGATAAAAAATCTGACTCTTAAGGCATTGGATTGATTTTCAAAAAGTAATGAAACATAATACCAAATCTGCTGACCTGAGCATTGATGCTGCTCAGGTAGAGTCTAGAAAACGAGCAGGGAGTGTATATGGAAGATCAAGATCAAGCTGTTCTTTGGCAGCCGGCTGTAGTTGTGGGGCATGTGGGTATTTATCTTAGAGATTAAATCTGTTGAAGAGAGCATTGTCTGGTCATTTATAATGTCTTGCCTGGAAGTTTCTCTTAATTTAAACAAATATGCTAATTGGGTTTTTTAAAAGTTTCTTTGGCTAAGGAAGTATCTCTACTAGCCACAGACCTGCAATTAAGTTAGGCTTTTAGATCTGCAAAACAAAAAGCAGTTTTTCTCTTAAAAGCCAAATTTTCAAATAGTCTGAAATGACTGCCATTTCCTAATCTGCTTGTAATATGTCAGGAATTGTGCTGCCTCACAAAAGTTGATGTCACTCCATGTTGCCCACTGAAGACTGTAAAATTCTTTGAGTGATTCAGCACTTAGGAATGGTAGTATCACGCTTCTCAAAGATAAAATACTTTTTTATTGAAGGGGGAGTGCATTGGGATTTTTGTTTGTTTATATTTTTAATGACTAGACTGTGAGCTTTAATTTTTCTTTTATACGTATATGTGTATATATAATGGAAAGTTTGTTACTGTGACAAAAAAAAATGACAGAAGAGTAATTTTTCCAGGGAATTCTTGTAGTGTTGATATATCAAGTATAATAATACTGAAAAAGAACACTGCACTGTTTCCCAATACCAGGCATTTTCTTGTGTTTGAGGAGTGAAGGTGATCTGATCTTCTAGTAAAACTGTACATTTTCATTCATGCTCCTTCTTGGAGATGTTAAGTGGCTGCAAATGGTATGATTTGATCAGCAGAATGCCAGAGATGTTCTCCCAGCTGATGCTGATGGGTCTCATAAATGAATTGTGGTAGCTTCTCTGTTCACATCATGATATTGAAAACTTTGTCTGGATTGCCTTGACCACAGTAGCTTCTTGCAGCTATATTGGTTGTAGTTAACCCAGCCTTGAGTTGCACATTTGGTTTCCATAACCAGGCTACAGTTGAACACCCTGCCCAAATACTGTGGGGGAAATCACTAAGGGCAGAGATTCTCAGTATTTTGTAAACTGCGGAGAATCACAGGTCAAGCTTTCTCCACAGTATTGCCATGTCTCATTACATTGCTGTTACGTTACATCCCTTACAGATGGGGTGGGTGCAAAAATATATTATAGCAAAAATTCAAACAAGTTCTCAAGCAAAGCTGCTATTGAACTTCAACCAAGAGAGTCCACTTTACTTTGTTTTTATCTCCTCTGAATTGGCCTGCTCCTCTTAAAGTTCAAGACATGCAGAGTATACTGAATTTAAGAAACTTCATACCAAGAAAGATGATGTGAGGTTTGAGAAGGGAACAAGGTCAGTCTTCTAGTCTCTATGAAGGTTTCTCTATGAAAGCTCCTTAAGATAGCTTCAGAGAAATGGTTTCACTTGCATTAAACACAACAAAAAGCCATTATTGTTGCCACAGTACAAAAGGATGTGTTCTCACATTAGATGAGGGAGGAATGAGAAGGGGGTTGAAGTGCTCTTGCAGGGGTATTGCTCTGTCTGATAACTGGTTCTTGGGCTACAGCAACACTGATAGTCTGTAGCTGCACCTGCGCAATGCCGTGCAGTACCAGAAGGTAGCAAGTGTCATGGGGTTTCCTTGTTTTAGTTCTGCTTTTGTTTGCATCACAGCCCATATTGTTTTGAGTGATGAGCAGAAAATAATGCAGGGGCGATAGAAACTTTGCAAACAGCAACATAAAGAGTAGGTTCCCAGTAATAACAGATTTGAGAATCAGATTTGGAAAAAATACTAAGGGAGCAACATTTTCTAGCACAAAGCAGGTAATACCCAAAATAGTATTGAAATAGAGGTTTATAACTGGTGTTCCAGTTTGACACTTCAAAATTCGTGTTTCTTCAGTTTATTTTTCCATTTTAAATGAAGATTCACAAATTCTGAATTAACATTATGAATATATGAATTCTGAATTACTCTCACATGAATTGAGAATTTTGTATTTGTACAAGTGTTGCGAGTACTGAGGCTTTCTATAAGGACTGTCTAGGTCTGCTTAGACCTGAATGGAATATTACAAGATAGATAAGATGGGTTACAGGTAGTGTAGCAACCTGCTTGCATTAATAAGTGCTGAAACACAATCTCAAAATGTGTAGTAATAAGAGGCTTGTAATCAGGGGAGTCTTCTGTCTCTCACCCAGCAGTAATAAAACTTAATGTTTAACAGCAGAGAAAAAAAAACCAGCAAGTGGACTACTGCTCCCTTTAGGCCCTGAGTTTAAAGCTAGCATTAAAGAAAAGCAACAGCCTCTTAAAAATGAGCCCAAATAGTTTGAGACTGTTCAAAAGCCCCCTACTGAACCCATGCCACGATTTGGCTGGGTTTCTGTACAGCCTGTACAGAGGTCTTCCATAAAGAGCTGTCTATTCTCCTTTTTTCATTTCTCCTCCAGATGGCCTTCTGGAACTCCAAAAGTCATCAGTCTCTTTCTGTGAGGTGACTGTTCACATCGGTTTTACCCGATGTTGCTCTCTCAGGAGACAGCCAGTCACTCCTGTTTCTGAAAACAGGACCTGTCTTGTCTCGGCTCAGTCCCACCTTCTGTGAGGCACTAGATTCTCTTGGAAGGTTGCCAGAAGATTGTCATTTGTTGTCAATGTGTTGCCCTTAATCCTCTCACAGTTGTGGCTGTAAGATGCCTATTTCTCATTCTAATACACATTCTGAAGCTATATTAGATTTGGAACCTAAAAGACATGACTATTTGTTCCCTGGTTAATGTCTTCACACACAATGATTGCATCATTTTGTTGCCCATTTAAATTGCCCAGCTGACCAATTCCCTTTGCCTTTCCCTGTCCTTTTAAGGGATATGTTACATCTTCTTGGCCTTGTTCAAGGAGACTGCTATGAGAGATTGGTCTTGGGTTCCTGGGTCATTGAGAAAAAATTATGCTTGAGTGAGCCAAAGAACTAATCCCTGAAGCTCTTGGAGCAACTGTTGCAGATGCTTGCTTGCTGAACTAGTGCCCAAAGCAGCACCACTGTTACCAGCCTTCTCCCTGGGACTGATTGCAGGTGGGCTTGTGAGGAAGGGGATCCTTCTACAGTGCTCAGAAGGAAGCAGCATTATCAGGCTATTGACACGGTACAGCCTTGGCTGGTTCTTTGCTCACTTTCAAGCCACTGTCTTTCTCTGGGAAATTACTCCTTTGCACCACTATCTGTAATTTTGTCAGTCTTGCTCTGGAGACTGCCATGCTAAATATCACTGTTTTCCTCTCACTGGTTGGCAAAGAAAAAAATGTAATGTGACCTTGGGCTGTAAGGGCATGTGTTTCACCTGAGGTTGCTGTTACAGGGGGAAACTGTAGGAGCTGATCCTGAATGTGGAGCACTTTGTGGATGATGAGCTAACTCTGTTTGTTCCACCTCTCCTCCAGAACTGTCAAGTAACCCAACTCTGGCTTCGATCCTCATCCCCGCTCATGCCCGGAACCAAGCAGCTGCTTCAACCCCTACAAATGCTACAGCGGCCTCAGGTGAGAACGTGCAAGTCTCTGCCTCCCTCCCTCTCCACCCTTGCTCGCGCTGCCCAGGCACCTTCCCTCTGCTGAGGCCCACAGGCCATCTCGGCCCCCAAATTGAACAGGGAGGAAGGGATTGTTTCAGTATCACTTGAACCTTGGTCTTGGTAGGTGATCATTTGGGTACTAGCTGTGGTCACCAACCCAAATGCCAACCCAAGGCACTCAGATTTGTATTTGATTGCTTAATTTGTTGGACCTTCTCACTCAGACTTTCACTATTAAAAAAAAAAGTCATTATCTCACCTGTTTTTTAGCAATCCTTGTGGATTGGTTTGCACCTAATTTCTGTGCTCTCAGCCATCCTGAAATTAACACTGAGTTGGTGCATGAGTTGTGATGCCTAGAAAAAAAAGACACAGCTGGCTCAGAGCATGTGGCCTCTGCATAGTATGGATGAAGAGGCTTTTTCCCTAAGGGTGTTGGCATCTGAAAATCTAGTTAGGGAGTTCAGTCAGTGTACTCACTGCCTCATCTTAGTAGTTGCAGTTGCTTCCTACTGAATTTGCTTGTGTCATCTTCAGGCACAAGGCAGATGTTTTTGGGTTTTGGCCGGCACTGAGTGATTTTTTTTGTTTGCATCCTGCTCTCAGGCTTTCGTCAGAAACCTTTTAAAAGCCCACTATTGGCATTTAGCCACTTCATATTGTATTTCCAGTGAAAATTTTAAAGCCTGGTAATACCAGTTGGGAGACTCCCAAAGAAACTCCCAGGTGCTGCATAATGTGGCAGAGGTGATTCAGTACATGGCATTCTTCCTCTGAGTCAGCCCTGATTCAGCACACTAGAGGCTGTGTCAGGGCTTGGGCAAACAAAGGCAGGCTGCAATACACGTGTGTTTCCACATCTCCTGCATGCACCTCAGCCCCACCCCACAAGTGCTACAGTGCAGGATGCTTCCTTAGTGTAGGACAGCTGATGAGAAGACATGATTCAAAAACTGCTCTTGAAACGTGCAGGAAAGCATTAGCTGGTTCATGTGCTGGACAGTTACCTGATATTTAAAGCACTTGGTCAAGCCAGTGCTGTACAAAGAGCATTTTCATATTCTGGGACAGATGCACACAGGTTTAAAAGATGAGATTTCTCTCTGAAATTATAGTAGCAGCAGATTAAAGACACAACTTGTGCCATTTATGTATTCTGAATTTAGGAGAAAGCAAACCTGCTATTTTCAAATTTGTTTGTTTCATACACTTGGCGGTATTTTGCAAATAGTCATGTTCTCTGTTTCCCTCTTATGTGCATCTGTTGCTCAACAACAAGTGAGAAAACAGATAAAGTAGTAAAAGTGATTTAAAAACTACATAATGCAAACATGGACAATTATTTTAAGCCTTTCTGAAAAATACTGTTTCACCTAATGTCCCTTTTATGCCTTTTAAGGAGTTCTTTCCACCAAGACACAAGTCTTGAGGAATTAATGGGGTTAAAATCTGTTTTCACGCAACACTTTTCAGGGGCTCGTATAGGGAGAAAATGCATTAGACCAAGTCCTCAATGTGAAGTGTTTATAATAAGCAAAATATAAAACCCAAAACAAAGCCAAAAAACCCCAACCCATCCCATATTACTGATGTCAATATTTTTAAAGCTTCTGTTTGCAAGCACTGCACTGAGTTGGGATATGTCCTCCTATTCATGGTTCAAAACCAAAAATAATATCCTTGCTAATTGGAATGAAATTGTGCAATTAACTTGAGTATTGGACAGTTTTGTATTTCTGTAGTTGGTAGTTTCTTACTCAGATGGGTTTCTCACAGCAGATGGTGGGAATGTCAGTTATGATGCTTAGGATTAGGTGCTGTTGAGCTTATTTTAATCTGTTGTGCTTTGCGTGCTGATGCTGATTTCTTAGCAAGAGATTTTCATACAAGGGGTCCCTTCTTTCTTTATACCCCGTGCACCTCCCAGAGCAGTAAGTGTTGTTAAGTTCCTCAGTAACTGCTAAGGCAGTGTGGTAACAAGTCTCCCACCTAACCCAAGGCATCCTGATAGGCAGGAGACTTCTCTGCAAAATGCTTGCATGTGTGACTAAGCAGTACGGGTTCAGAAACTGCTTTTCTTTTTTCTTTTTTTGGTGCAATGGTGCACCAAAATGTAGCTCTCAAAGCAATAATGGGAAGAGCAAATATGTAACTGTAATTCACATTATTAGTGTGTAACTTGTGCCTCTCTCTAGCAAGCATTTTTTAAAAAACCACATTTGTTGTCAATTTGCTCTTCTCTTGAGGCACAAAGCTGTACTTGCTCTAGTAGTGGAACCTGGCTTTGCATTGGGAGTGTGTAGCCTTGCTGCTCTGGCATTAGTAAATTCTCCTGAATATTTATGAGAAACTGTCTGACATAGTGGCACGTCTAAAGCAAAATGGAGAAAAAGAAAGATGAGATTTATTGGCCCCTGCTTGAAATGATGTGCTGGCCTTCTGTGAGTTATACCAGCCATTGATTAAAAATGTCAGTGCAGTCGTATTCCCGGGGATGGCTGGAGGAGGAAGAGGATGGTTTCATAACTGTGCTGCCACAGCATCTGAGAGGGGAGTGTGCAGACCAAGCTGAATGTAATGCATATCTGCTTGTGTGACTACATTTTTCTTCCTGGATCAGCCAGCAGTAGTAGTTACCTCTCCATTAGTCAGCGTTAAGATGGGAAGAGCATAATTGCCATCTGCAGGGAAGTTGTGCCAGCAGGGATTCTGGGGTCATCATTTTAGGCATCCCGCTGTATTGATCCCATGTAATCTCAAGTGCAGTGGTGTGTCTGAACTTTCAGTGACAAAACAGATCAGAGCTAGTGCTACGTGCCAGTGTGTCGTAGCTGAAAAACACCACAGTGCTACACGAAATAAGATTTAGTGCATTTGTAGTATTGACATGGAAGGAATTTTGGAAAACTTGAATTCTGTGACCAGGAGAAGATGGGCAAGCAATTCCCTCAGGTTTCTACAAGCTCAGAACAGGGATGAAGCCATGACAAGAGAAGTAAAACTTGGACATTTTGCCACGTTTGCTCAGAGCTTGAATTTCTATATCCACAGGCAGGCACAATAGGAAAACCAGGCTATCCTCCTCCTTCCCCTTGTCTCCTCAGCTGTCCTGTGAGGATTCCCAGGCTGGTGGTAGCTTTGTTTCTGTATCTTTGCAGATGAGCAGCACAGCCTGTCAGCATCACAAATGCACCCAGCTAATGCTGTCAGCAGTGCTAATGGGCTTTCTGAGCTGTCATCCCTGTCACTCTCTGAACTGTAGCTCTGTCTTTTCCCTTTCAGGAGGTTTTTAAGAAGCGTCACGTACCCTCCAAGAAAGCTGAGGCACTCCTTAGAGGGAAAAGCTGAATTGGAGGAAGTTCTCCACAATGATGAGAGATGCTTTTGCACTCAGTTTGAAAGAACTTTTGGAAGCAGCTGGCACTTAAACTCTGATGGCGCTGCTTTGCCTGCACAGGGAGAGGTGTCAGGCGGTGGTTCAGGACAAAGAAGCTGCCCTGACCTCTCTGGGCACTCGTCTGTCCTATGCCACAAAGCTGCATGCCAACTCATAGCTGTGCGTCCTAGCAGGGCTTTGCTGTCCTCTGTCAGCATTGCCAAGGGCCTAGATTTCCTTCTCTTACGCTGAAATACTGCTTTTTTTTATGGTGAGAAGTGAATGTCCCAAGACCCTCATACTCCAGTTGTGCTCTTTTTCTGGTGCTTCAGCAAAGTGATGCTTGAATAAGCCTCTCTTTATTCCTCAAACGTCCTGTCAATGCAGAGTCAACAAATGATGAGCTGAAATGTTAAAATACTGCATTTTCTTGCAGTCTGGGAGCCAGGGCAGCCTTGAGCTTGCTCTGCACTCTGTCCCAGCCTGGAGACATTTCTGTATATTGTTGCGAAAGGCCGCAAGAAAATGTTCTTGGCCTGCATCACCTGTTCTGTTTTAACATATGGTATCTGTATTTCTCAGGAGCTTCCCTGTTACAGTGATGATAGAAAAGGAGCATATGTTACATAAGTAGCTCCATCCCTTCCTCTTTTTTTCCTTTATCTCTGTGTAGTAGCAATGTAATGATAACAATTTCAGCCTCTGCTATCTTGAGGAAATTGAGATCAAAAGACATGTTTCATTTCAACAAATGAAATATAAGCACTTTTTGTACACATACAGAGAAATCCTCTGCCAACAGTATAGGCTCCAGCTGGACTGCTTGCATCAGGCAGTGCCAGCCGATGTTGCATTAACTGGAGTTTATTCATACTTGAAAATTAACCTAGAATAAGCATAGTGAGAGTTTAAAGTGTAGAAACTATTATCTGGCTGGCTGGGTCACTTCTGATTTCTGTGGTCATTTTTGGTCTGCATGCTTGTGGGATTTGGGAATTGCTCCTTCAGGGAAATTCTCTACATAGGAGGGCGTACCTCTCCTACAAGGCCAGCTTCCCACATAACATTGGTACTGTAGTCATGCTGCTTTGTTGCAATAATTGCATGACCTTTTTTTTTTGTCATGGTGGTCATTCCTTTCTAAAGGCAGGGATTCAATTAATTTGGGGTGAGATGAGAATGAGAACCTCCCAGGGTAGTCATTTGGCATCCTTTGCCCACAGGACGTTTTGTCTTTCTTCCCACACATTCCTTGCAGCATTTTCTTTTCAAATAGGCATCACTTTCTCTTCCCACTTGTGTTTCTGCATGCTGCTGATTGTTTGATTTCTTATTTTTGTCGCTGCTGTCAATGTTACTTAATTTGTGACTCAGCAAGTGCTGCCCATTTCTAGCCGGCATGTGCAGTGTAGTTGATAGACTGGAGGGAAGGGATGCCATCCAGAGGGACTTTGGAAGGCTTGAGGGGGGCCTGTGCAAAACTCACCGAGTTCAACGGGACCAAGAGCAAGGTCCTGACCCTGGGTCAGGGCATTCCAGGCACAAATACAGGCTAGGCAGTGAATGGATTCAGAGCAGCCCTGAGAAGGAGGATTTGGGGGTGTTGGTTGATGAGAGGTTGGACATGGGTTACCAACATACCCTTCTAGCCCAGAAAGCCAAAGGTATCCTGGGCTGCATCAAAAGCAGCTTGGGCAGCAGGTCGGGAGAGGTGATTCTGCCCCTCTATTCTGGTCTGTGACACCCCATCTCAAGTGCTGTGCCCAGCTCTGGGGCCCACCAGCATAAGGATTTGAGCTTGCTGGAGCAAGTCCAGAGGAAGGTGATTATCAGGGCCTGGAGCACCTCTCCCTTGAGAGAGTTGAGACTGTTCAGCCCAGAGAAGAGAAGGCTCTGGGAAAACCATATAGCAAACTTCCAGGACCTAAGGGAGGCCTACAAGAGAGCTAGAGAGGCACCTTTTTACAAGGGCATGAAGTGTTAGGACAAGGGAAAATGAGTTCACACTGAAATAGGGTAGATTTAGATTAGATATTAGGAAGAAATTCTTTACTGTGAGACTGGTGAGGCACTGGCACAGGTTGCCCAGAAAAGTTGTGGCTGCCCCTGGAACTGTTCAAGGCCAGGCTGGATGGGGCTTTGGGAAACCTGCTGTAGTGGGAGGTGTCCCTGGCCATGGCAGGGAAGTTGGAGCTGGATGGCCCTTTCCAACCCAAAGTGGTGCGTGATTCAGTTCATTGCCTTTGTTCATGGCTGTGGTCAGGTAAGTGTGTCTGAAGAGGAGGAGATCTTGCTAACAGGTAACCAATGAGCATTACCCAGCTCCTCTGTGATGGAGAAATGTTACTGCACACCTAGCGTCCACTGGTGTGCTTTGTGTGGAAGTCACACAGCCCTTCAGGCTGAGGTCACCAAATCTGTTCTTTGCTTTCATAAACCCTTTCCATGTGTCTTTTCTAATACACGGTTTGCCCAGTCTGCCCTCTTCTGTACTGAGATAAGTCTTTCTGATGTTTTTTCTGTTGCTGTTATCAATAGCTTTGCAGTTAATCTTACTTAAATTAAGGGGGTGAAATGCATGACAGTCTCTTGGAGAAAACCTCATTTAATACATTTTTCCCATCCTGTATTTTACGTGTTTAGGTGTTCACCCACTTACCTATACATATCTTGCAGTCTTTCTGACTTGGCTAATTAGATAATATATAAAATGGTTCCAGGTGAAATTGGTGCATTTTTCCCCCTACCAGCTATTCTAATACTAAGAATTTTTTTTTGGAGGAAATATCTGATGCATTGTGGCCTATCAAAAGACAGTTACAATGAATTTCCTTTTGGTATTTCTTTGCAAACCCTCTGTTTTCTTGGAATTTACTTTGTCACATGCCCTTGATCCTGTGATTTGTCTCTCTGTGAAGCACTGTCCCTCCCTGAGAAGGTGTTGGAGGCATTTACTGCAGAGATCCGATCCTCTAACATGTCATGTGCTTGCATAAACCGCATTACTGCCTACAGGCCTTGATGTTAATCTGCTTCAGCAGTTCAGAAGGTGGTAGATCCAAATTGGGTTGGGCAGCACTGAATCCAGCAGCAGACTGGAAAGACTTTCTCAGGTAGCAAGTGCATGAATTGCACACTGGCACACCAGCTGTTTCTGCCAGGGGAGCAGGCTCATCATTTTTTGTCTGCACTCATTCACACAACTAACAGGCAGATTTATTTTAAGAAGGACTAACAATGTGAAACTTCAGCACCAGTGTGAAACCTCGTGGTGTGACCACAGACGTTGGTGTTGGCTTTGGCAATGCCAGTGTGGCTTGTCATGCAATTATGGGATGTAAAACAGGTGACTTCACACTGCGCAGCCAGTGTTACAAACTGCAAAACCTGCTGGAGCTCAGCCCACGGCCCTCAGCCCTCCAGATTGTTTTGCCCTACCTAAAGACCATCTTCCATTTTTCCCCAGACTGGATTGCTCCATCTGCATGCTCTGAAGTCAGGAGAGCATCCTAACCAAACACCGTCTTGGTGTGAGTTGTGGGTTTCCCCTTGTGGAGAATGTCACAGCTGTTGTTTCCAATGTGTCTCTGTTTTGGAGGTAATGCTGCTTGTTTTTCTCTCTCCCCTTCTCGTCCGTTGTTTGCAGATGTTAATGCAGGAGAACGAGTTCAGACCAATAGTGTAGCTACAGCATCAGCCTCCAACTCCACCTGAACCAGTACCAAGCCGCCAGCTACACAGGAAAAATCACCAGTAATTTGAGTCTTGCTCAGCAACACTGGTCACATTTGGAAAGAAAACTAAAAAGAGGAAAAAAAAATCCAACGAAACAACAAACCAACCAACCTGTTCATTTTAATGTTCAATTTTTTATTATTATTGTTGTTCTTATTTAACCTTGTAAAATATCTATAAATGCAAACCAGTTTCATTGTATTCTCACTGCAGGGTGTCCAGGGCAGGGGACTAGGTGGGGGAGGAGGGAAAGAGGAGCAATACAACACACCAGTGTCTCCCCTGAACAATCTGTTAATGTTGGAAGTTTGCTGTTGTGTACTTCAGAACCAGGACTCTTGCCTCATACCCCTCCCACAACAGAAAGAAGGAAAAACCGAAACAAACAAATCCCAAACCTCATTCTCTGCTGAAGTTCTGAAGTTCTTTTTTCTTTTTTTTTTTTTTTTACCCTCTTTTCTTATTTTCTTTTTAAGTGAAGTTTCAGACTTTGATGTAGTGCACAGCTTGAATTTGGTCAGGAGCTTAGCAGAGGTCGTTCAACAGAGCTCAATGTTTCTTGTCAGCAAATCCATATCCCAGGTTATCTGAAGAGCTGCCCTGGCTTGGCACAGGGAGTGAGTGACATGGTAGGAAAATAGGTTGCCATGGGGTGCGGGGGAGGGTTTGCCATGTGTCTAAGGCTTGAACCACTAGTGGAAGCCTTTCATTTGTAGAAATCAATGCTAGTGATGAGGAAATCTGCAGCTTCATGTGGGAAAAGTTTTGCCTGAGTGGGTGATATATAATACAATACACACACATGCACGAATAGCAGCAGTCAGCTCTGCCGAGGCATCCCCTTTGCCCAGCCGGAGCTCCCTGTTTTCTGTGTCTCAGGCCGGCTCCCAGCTTCAGCAGATGAACAAAATCCTCCGCAGGGGCCCAGCTGGTGGATGGATGTTCAGGGACTTTTTGGGAAGTGACCGCTGTGAAAGTGTGTTTGGTTAGGTTTTTTCTCTCCCCGCCCTCCTTGTCTCTTGATTTGAACAGGCTTCCCTTTCCTAAGGTGCGTACAGGAAAAGGACACCAGGGTTTATAATGTGAATTGTAACAGGCTACTGGTTTATTTTGTAATACTCCTTTTTTTAACTGCAGTTTTAACTTGCAGGATGCCACATTCTTTGATAGTTCTGATTTTAAATCCACAGCTAAAGTCTGTATTTAATTTTAATATTTTTTAACCTCTTGCTTTTTCTTTTTTTGATCTCTATTTATTGATGAGTGTTGCCACGTCGCCATTATGTTTTTGCATTAGTAGAATATTAAAATACACATCCAAATGCTCTTGATGGTAATTTGTACCTGCTGACTTGTAGGAAAGCTGGCTCTGTATGAGTGTATGTGTATATATATATTATATAAATATATACATGTATACATAGATACAACACTGCTTTTTTTATTATGTCTACAGTCTTAAATCAGTCTGACTGAAGCATGAGGTGAATGCTTGTTCTAGTCCATCAGTTCAGGGTCCAAGTTTCCTCCCTGTCACGGCGTGTGGTGCAAGCATCCACGTCTCTCTTCCTGAAGTCAAAGCAATATTCCTTGCAAAAGGATCGGGTGAACGGCCGGATGCAGCCCCGGCACGAAAACGAAACTTTGGGAGACCTGATCTTGTGGTAGGCTTGCGGTTGGTGTCCGCTCCAGCCTGATCCTTCTTCAGAGAAACTGTAGTCACCTTTGGTGCTTACTGAGCTGTTCCATGACCTGCGAATCTCTAAGACAAGCAGTTGCTTTTCAGGAACACACAGAACCTTCGTGTGGCCTGGGGGGAACCAGCAGTAGCGGCTTTGGAAGCTTGGCTGCCGCAGGGGTGGCAGGAGATTGGTCACGAGCTTAGTGTGTTTTTTCTTATACCTTTTATGCTGTTGACGTGGGATTTTTTTGGAAACTGTCTCTTAGCAGCCCTGGAACTGATAAAAGCTCTGCCCTCTCCCTCCTGCCTGGTACGCAGTGGGTTTGGGTGTGCAGGAGCTAATTGAAGAGGTGAGTGACTACCTACCATGAAACCGATAAAAACCCTCATGTTATACCCTTCAGTGATTTGCTGTTGGGCACAAACACACACCAAAAAAAGGTGTTAAAAGCTTTTTTGCATTCTGGCTGGCTGCAAAGGAAAGCACACCCACGTTGAGAAATGGAAGGCTTTCCAAATTCTTACCTGCAACTTAATAGAAAGGGCTGAAGAGTGTCTTAACACATGCGCTCCGCTAGTCAGTGTCTTGAAAGGTAAGTGAAGGGGCTTGGTTGACCCAGTGATCCAAATCCATGCAGGAGACTCAAAAAGTAGGACAGTGGCAGGGTGTGGATATGCTGTATAGACAAGACTGCTGAAGCATTGGCCACAGGCACTTTTATTTGGAGGCAGTAAATTACTGAGTCTTTAAAAAAAAAGTTATAAAAATACCGAAGAAAAAAATGCTGCTTGTGCCAGGACACGTGGCTTTTCTTCATTTTTTTTGTCAAAGATTGGCAGAGGGGAGTCAGAGCGTTTCTCTTTTCTCTCTGGTTTTGTGACTGTGCTGGCGTCTGTGTGTGTCTTATGTGTGTGTGTTAGGCGGGGGGGAGGGTCAGGGGTGCCCCTCTGGTTTTATTTCTATTTTCAAGGATCATAACAGGATCACACACTCTTTTATACAAGTTAGATCCAGGTCTTTGAACAACCTTTTTTTTGTAAATAAGAAAAAAAAATCACAGAAAAATAACAAAAAACAAAGCTCCTCACCAAATTCAAGCTTGTACATTATTATTATTTTTGGTTGCTTTTGAATTTTGACTTTTATTGTTTTGTATGTAAATATGTGGACCCAGGAACTGTTATTAATGAGCAAAAAGATACCGTTCAGGGCAGTGATTCTGTTTAATAATCAGACAAAATGTAGACGAGCTTTTTAAAGCCATATAGTTTTAACTCTGTACAGTAGGTACCGGCCTGTATTATTGTAACAATAACTGTAGCGATGTATAGTGTATCTATATAGTTTGGAGTGCCTTCGCTTCCATGATTTTTTTAATTTTATTTCCCTTTTATTTTTTTCTTGTCCCTCTTTATTAACAATGTCTCCCACCCTAAACCTGCATCTTTGCTCCCCCCTCCCCACTCCACTTTATAACTCTTTGAGTGCTGTAAGGTTTCGGTGATACCCTGATCAGTAGCAGAACGAAAAGAAACCGTCTTCACCGTCATTTACTTCATTGGAGCTGTGGCTTTGTTCTGGGAGTCTCCAAGGTGCCTGCGCTGCCCTTCTCCTCCCACTAGCAGCAGCTGATTTCATTCGGACCCTTGCCCTAGCAGCCCATTTAGATTTTGCTTGTCTCAGCTCTGCACCCAGGGGCATCTGGGCAGCAGCAGCATGCAGGAGGCTTGGCCTTCCCACTCTCCGTGCGGCAAGCAGAAAGGGCCCCCAGGGAGGGAAATCCCCACATCCTGCAGGGTTGCTGTGCTTGGAGCCATCTGGCTGCAGTGGGAGCAGGGGCATCACTGTAGGAGACTGCAGTAGTTTTTTCTGCCGGGAGGACTTTCTATTCCCTTTCTTCTCCCTGTTTTCCCCCAACATCCTTCCCAGAAGTCACTTTTGTTTTCTTGAGATGAGTTTAACATGACTCTTGATTTCTTGTGCCCAGCACGAAGGCCTTGTTTCTAAAACTAGTTTGTGTTTTACTACCTTGTTGGTATTCCACATAAAGTTGTCTTGAATGGGAAAACATGTAACTTTACCAAACCAAAGGTTGCTGTTTTATTTCGAAGCATCTCGTGTTCATTCCAGTGAAGCAGGGGCTGCACTTTCTTCCTGGTGACACGAAGGTTAGTGATGCCAAGCTGTTGGCAACAGTCTGCTCAGAGCTGTCCCTCTCTTTTACACTCTTTTGGGCTTCTTTTTTAACCCAGTATGGTCTTGATGTATCGTTTACGTCAGCCCTGCTGTAGTGGGTCCCTGAACTGGGCTGGATCGCAGTCTGTCTCCCCAGATGGATGCTCAGTCAAGACACTGGTGTTCTTTACTGTTAAACTTACCTACCTTGCTAGGGAAAAAGAAAAAAATTACCTGCAAAAGAAAATCGACTTGTAGAACACCCCTGAATACTCTGTCCCATTATTTTGAAGCCAGGTTTTACCTAAAATAATGGCAGGTGCCTGCAACTTGTAACCTAAAATTCCGTCCCCGTCCCCCCTCCATTTTCAGTACTTGGAAAAGCAGAAGTCAAGCAGCCTGTCAGACTCGTACTCCTGTACTAGGAACCTCAGCCACTGCAGAGAAAAAGGAAAAGTCGATGAGGAAAAGCACAGTAGGGTATTCGGTCTGGGCTCTGCCTTCTGGAGACTGCCAGTGGGTTCCCCGGGGTGGCAGCTGATTTCCACAGGGCTCTTGGCTGGCTCTGGTCATAGTTGGCTTCGTTTTGCAACACTGCAATAATGGCAAAACGACAGGAAAGGAAAACAGTACCTAAGGGGTTAGCTCGAGAAAAGTAGCTTCCTTGTGTTGGTCTTTCTCAATTTATTTTTAATATATATATATAAAATATATTTATATATATATAATTTGCTTGCCTGTAAAATTTGCATTCATTAATGTGTTGCTGATGGATCACTTGGGCCTGTACCCACCAATTAGCGTGACCACTTCCATCTTAAAAACAGAAATCTAAATATATATATATTAAGGACTGTGGGTTGTATACAAACTATTGCATACACTTGTGCAAATCTGTCTTGATTTAAAGGAAAAGCAAAACCTGTATAACATTATTACTACTTGAATGCCTCTGTGACTGATTTTTTTTTTTTT